ACAGCAATGTCTCGTGGACCGAAACGGCAGAGATGCTTTCAGCCCTTGGGCAAAACCTTTCTCCTTTGGGATCAAACTCTAAATGACAAAATTGGTGGTGGTGGAATGCAAAGAGCCTCCTGGCGAAGATCTCAGAGAAAAAAAGTGTGTGTGTGTGTGTGTGTGTGTGTGTGTGTGAAGGAAGAAAGCAAACAGCTCAATAATGTCTTGGTCTTTGGATCCTGCTGAGGATATAGCATTGTAGTAGCTCCAAGGCAGCCTTAGGCCTGGTGTTCACTTAGGTGTGTGTCTGTGTGCTGTATGTAGGCCACATCTTTGCAAAATGTATGGCTTTCTAAACAGAAGTTTAGATCAGCCCGTTGGCCTCCTTCTATGTTCTCCTTCTCACCTTATTCAGATATTCTGTAATCCATGAAATTTGAATCAGAGTTTAGGATTCTGCTTCTAGATCATATTGAATACTAAATGTGCATGAGCTGATCATTGAGTAAACTTAGTTTGAGGCCTCTGTGTCTGATGTAGATACTAGGAATAAATTAATTACTGATGTATGGCATTATCAAGAGTAATGAGAGAGTGTGCTGTGATGGTTGAGGACAAGATCTAAATGAATGAAATGGGCCAAAAATGCATTGAGAGTATACCTTGAAACCAAATGATGTAGGAATGTAGTGATCTTGAGGGGATTCAGTATATGATAAGTTTTGGACTATATGTAGGAGACTCATAATTTTTAATGCTTCTCTTTGTAAAAAAAAAAAAAAGCATCCCCTTTCTGCTAATATAAATCTATATAGGCAACAACCATTCTTCTCAATATACTAATAATATATTATGGTGGTGCCGTTTTCTATGCTGGTCTTTGACTGTAATAAAGATTTGATTGATTGGTGGGATTTTGACATTCTGCGAGACATGGTACCCTTTACCTTCAGTCTGGATGAACTGTACAATTTAAATCATTTTTAAGATTCTACCATTCTGTTTACTGCTTCATCTCTGCAATATAAGCAGTAAAGAATTTTAATTAACTCAGTTGTGTCTTATTATCCTACCCTATCTTGTTTTTCCCACTTTTTATTCCATTGAAAACATTTCCGCTTCAATATGAACAACATTTTGCAAGTAAAATTTGCAATCCCTCCCAAACAATTGATCATATGTTCCTTTTCTATCCTCTGCCATTTCTGTTTGTGTTTCTGCCAGTTGCTATTAAAAATTACAGTAAGCGTGTCTTTTAATATTTGATAATAAACACTTCCTTTATCCTTCCAACTCTGAATTTCATGGTAGGCTCATTTAGAAGGCCACTCCGTGGTTAATTTTTTTTAAGTGAAGAAGATAAGCGAAAGAACAGAATGAATGAAAAGAAGGAGGAGTGAAGGTATTGGTGAGGGGAAAATGTGATACAGTGCCTAGTTGCAATTTAAAAAAAAGTGGGTTTTCTGGGGCTCCCATAACAGCAGAGTTGGAGAGGAGTGTGGTTTCTTCACTGTACTTAGTAAGCATTTCTGCTTTGTATCTTTAGTTTGTGTGAATATGTAGGAGAAGGGACTCATGACGACTTTACTATTCTCAAGAGACTGGCAAGAATTGGTTGCCTAGCAGAGGGACTCTGAACTGTAATGGAACTGAAACCTTTGGGAGACCTTAAAAGCCTCCCTGGTTTTTTAGGCATAGAAATACTATTGGTGGTTGTTCCAGTGTCCCAATCATCTTGTAGATATGTATGCAGTGCCTATACTGCAAACTGGAATTCAAACATAGTTGTCAGAGAAAAACAGTGGAAGAAAATAAATCCTATTCTTAAACTTACAGGTGTGCAGACCACTGTGTTCATTACAAACAGGAACCAGGACAGGAGAGTGGAAGGACGGCTATGAGTAGTCCCAGTGCCAAGCCAACATGTCTGTCACAGCCTGTGGTGAAGAGTGTGATGGTATATCGCAATGGAGACCCTTTCTTCCCTGGGCGCCGTGTTGTTATCCATGAGAAGAAGGTGTCTAGTTTCGATGTCTTTCTAAAAGAAGTGACAGGTGGGGTGAATGCTTCTTTTGGGGCTGTACGGAATATTTATACACCCCGTGGTGGGCATCGCATCCGGCAGCTAGATGAGATTCAAAGTGGAGAGCACTATGTTGCTGGTGGCAGAGAAGCCTTCAAAAAACTAAAGTAAGTAGTAATGTTTTGGTTCCAGCCGACATGACCTGAAATGAATGAAACTGAAATGAAATGAAACTGAAATGTGTGGTCTTTTAAATGGCAATATCTAAGTCCTCCAAAGGGGGGGTAAAAGCACTCTTTTTGTTTAGAGTTAAAATGTTTTAACTAAACAATGAAAACTTGATTGTTCATAGGCCCAGTTCCCCAATCTTTCTCTCTGCCTTCCCATGTATGCATCTTTATCTCCCTATAATTTTTTTCTCTCAGAAATGATGGAGCAGTTAAGTGAAGAGTCCTATTTCAACACCATTAACAATATTGATGTAAGTCTATTTGACATTTCTGTAATTAAGGCTACAATCCAGAAGCAGGCAATTTGGGATTCCTCAGATGTCCTGGATTTCAGTTCTTCTCAATTGCAGCTACCATGACCAGTAAAAAAGAGATTGTAGATCTAGTCCTAAATATCTGAAAAGAGCCACAATACCTACCCCTAATATACATACTAGGGTGATTAAAGACAAAAGAGGACAGGGTACTGTACTGGTAACAGTGGTGTGGAACACAGTGATACAGCAGACTTAAGCTTGCATGCAAAATACTCCTGATGAAATTCCCTCCTGATATCCAATACTTAAAAGAGACCTCATCTTCTTTTTTTTTTTAGCTGTCATCCTTATACACATTTCCCACTAAATTTTCTGAATATACTTTTGAGTAGATGTAGCCTGCACTGTTTTATGCTATATATTTTCTCTATTAAAAAGATTAAACATGAAATATAAACAAGTTTGGTTCAAGTTTATTCCCAGGTAAGATGCATAGGATTTTCCTAATGAAGTTACAGTGTTAGAATAAAAGACTGTTCTGAATTCCAAATCCTAGTTTGAATCCAAAGATTTAGCAGATATTTCTTCTGCCTGGAGAATCCTTGATTCAATTTAGTTGTGAAACAGTTCATGGATCATTAACAGAACATTTTCAACATTGAAGCCAAACTACAGTTCCCATAATTCTTTATGGGAAGTAGAAATAGGACTGGCTATAAAATAATTTAAATCAATATGAGTTTATAAAATAGATATGCCTTAGTATAATTTTACTTTGTTGCCTGCGTTTAGAAGTAAAACTTGCTGATGTTCTTGTGGTCTTCTAATATGTGCTAATAAACTAATGTCAGAGGTAAAATATACAATTTTGGTAAGTTTCATCCCTGCGCTCTGCATTCTCTTCAGTTTCAACAATATTGCCTTGATTAAAATCTATTTAATCAATTATTAACAAAAAGTTCCAAATTCTGCAAAAAATATACTTTTTAAATTAAGAATAGTATGTTGCACCAGTTTACAATATACATTTGCCCATAATTATTGCCTTATGTTATTCTTGTGTTTTTACTTTTGGTAGATTTTATTGTTTTAGTGTTTGCTGAAATGAGTGTTCAAAAATTTTGTCTCATAAGCTTAAAAAAGAACTTTGTAAAACAATTTAGAAATGTAGAATATGGGCTTTCATGTTTGTAGAATTTTAGACTGTGTAATGTTTAACAAATAACAATAAAATATCCTAAAATATAGGATAGTCCTGTCATCATATAATATGAATTGGTTGTCATTGCTATTTGCTGGATTCATATATCATATTAAGCTATAATGTGGCTTGTTGGTTAAACACTCATCTGGTGAATGTACTACAGAGGCACCCAAAGTTGTCAAGTGTTTGCAGTAGTTAAATAAATATATATATACACACACACACATACATACATACACACATATACACACATACAGAAAAATTCCCGAACAGCCTACTAAGAATTGAGTTTGTCACATCGATATAATATGTTGGCTGGTTATTAGGAAAAAAACATGAAAATAGGAAAATATAAGGCAAGAAGAAAAAGAATATTCTTGAAAATGTAGTATTAGATAGCTGAAACTCTACAATATTTTATTGCAGGTTATACTTGTAAATAACCTATTTTATTTTCTTGTTTTTCAGTTACTTGGATATTGGAGAGCCAAAGAAACGACCTGTGGAAATTAATAATGAGGTAGTGTATGAATATACGTCTGTATTACACTTGAAGTACAAACAAAAGAAATGCTTATTGATTTAGACTGCATTCTGTTCTGACTTATTTGGAAATCAAAGGGAGTTATTTCTGAGTAAACATCTACAGCTTTGCTTTTTAAGACTGAATTTACATAAGGCATAAGTTTGGTCTGGTTTAGTGAGATTTGTGAACCCAGATATTTGTTCATGCCGCAGTAGTTAAACAAGCAGTGGGCTGTCTGAGTCCAGCAATATGCTCTAATTTTTAAAGAGAGATTTACAAAACTAAGATCTAGAAAACTGCTTGTGCAATTAAGCACAGCTGCTTTGGAATCTGCTTTTCCCTCCTTGTCGAAGAGGACCACTTGATTTCTTTAAAAGGAGTAAAAACATATTAGGAACATAAGAAGCTTTCTTACACTGTCTAGATTAACATTTTGTATTATTAAAACACAGTGGTTTGTTAGATAAGCCATAGTGGCCCAGATCTTACATAAAACTAAGTATAAACCATGGTTTCAAAACTGTAATGGCTGGATTCACATCCCTCATTAAAACCAATTCAAAAACAAAACACATTATGGCTTACCTAGAGTGACTGTGTTTCGAAGAGTAAAATTTGGGATATGGTAATTTATGTAAATATACATGTTTATTAATACTCATCCATAACTCAGTTTCCCAATCTCAGGCATGCCACAATAATGTTTGAAAAATTTCTGTTATAATGAAGCAGCTTTCACTAATTCCAAACTCCTGTTTCCTACTGTGTTCAAAATTATTTCTAGATCAAATCAAGGTAATAGATAACTAACAAGCAACAGAATAAGGCTACTATATTTGGGCTGCAGAAATCTGGACAATCACTAGAAAGCAGCAAAGATATCCATAAATCTCTAAATATTAAGGAATTATTCAATAGAACTATTCAGCTACATTGGTGTCCTTCTTTCAGACAAGAACAAACTATATATATTACATACAGATTTGTCCTCTGAAGTACACAGAAGTCAAAGCTTTTACATTGATCTGTGATCCAGGATTTAAATTCTAGACTTTTTCTTTCACCCTTCAAGTCAATAGATACTTGGCCATTTTCCTGATTGCTATAGGAGGCATCAGATATATGTTGACCTGACAGTTCTCTATGGACTGGGAATCACTGGTTCCTGCATCACAGCTTCATTCCTTATACTTTCCATCATGAGTATCCCCAGGCTTAATAACTGAAAGAAAACCCAGGCATTGTCAAAAGAGTCTGATTAACTGACGCTATGTTTATGGCTATTGCATCCTGTACTCCTGCTACCTTGCTCTGTATCAAGCTAGGGTTACCATCTCTGGGATGCAAATATCCAGATGACCATGAGATGGAAGCCAAGAGATAGTTTTCTGTAATTCTTTGCTACCCCTAATGATCTTGTGAACTTTTACAGCCTGGATATGTGAGTACTTAGGGATTTGGCAGTCTATAAATATGACAGACAGACAAACAAACATACTAACCCTACTCAGTTTCAAATGCAGGTGTGGTGAGTTGTGAATGCCAAAATTGTTTCCCATACTGTAGCTTGTGTGAGTCTTGTACTGCTTGATATTGCTGAGATGGGCTCCTGGAAACTGGAACTTCATAGTTTTGAGGTGATGGGGGATTGCCTGGATATTCCTCCAAAGTCAGGACTGGATTTAGGCTAATCGGACTGCCCCTGTAAATTCAGGACACCTAATCACTTTAGACTTATTGAGATGCAAACCCAGTCTATGATTTGCTAAATTAATCTACATCAAGAAATGGAATGGCTTTGCAAAGTGGTTTGTGTTATTGACAGACCATGATAATGGCCACTGTTCAGCTGTTGGAGGCTCTTGTAATCTAAGAATGAATTTTGAAGTGACAGTAGTTGAAACAGGCAACTTCTGAGGATCCTGTGCAATTATATTTTATAAATTCAGATGCATTGACTTGACTGTTGATGTTTGGCTGCACAAACTGGGGAACCAGAGGTGTAAACCATAATTTGCCTAACTTTGGTTTATGACAGTACAAGAATTATTTTAATGTTAAAATCTATTCTGCTCTAGATTTATATTTGGTTTTTAGATTTTTTTTTTTTATTGCTACTGTGGTTGCCTTACTCTGTTTAGGGACTTTTCCCCTAGAGATAAGATTTTAAAGAGGGAAATATAGAGAACACTAAGCAAATATAATGCTTACCACAGATGTTTTACTTAAGACATGAATGTCACAAAATGCCCTACTGTATTTGGTAGAATATGTGATGGAGAATAAAAATGTGTCTTAAAAAGGAAGGCAAATATTGTAAATTTAATGACTATTTTGCGTGAACCATAATGTATAATGCACTAATTTGATATAATATGGAGAATAGATGGAAGGATAACTTGAAGTTTAGATAAAATTAAGTTTAGAAGTTTAGATAAAATTAAGAAGTAATGTAAAGCTCTTGGATTATTTACATGCTTTTTCCTTAGAGTTCTTTCTATAATCATTGCCTCTGTTGCAGCATTGATAGATTTTGAAGTTGAGCTTAAATATTTAAATACATATTACTAACATTTGGGCCTACTCCTGGTTATCATACTTGGGATCAAAAAGTCATTGTTATTGAAGTCTGACTGATTTGTAATTATTGATAATTGTTTTGTCCTTATTTTTAAATAAGAATTTTAAATAGAGTTTCTTACAGCATGTGGCTTAGCTTTAGAATTTCATTCAGCATTGCTTAGCTGAATACCTTCAGTATTTAGAAACATATGCCTTGCAAGCTTTCTAAGGAATGGTATGATTTCTGGAGAGTTTGTTTAGTCCTACTTATTTTTTATGGCTTTTGATTCTTTGAGTTCCCTGGCTCATTTGCATTTTCCCCCAATCTGCCCTCTCATAAACTGCAATTTATAAACATGATTGGAAGTAGGTACCTGATCAATTAGATTACTCACTCATGAGGTGAGTATAGAAGTGTAAAGTTAATTTCTGTGCCACAGTGCCAGGAAGCTGATTTTTTAAGTTGTTATTTAATTTTTATTAAACATAAAAAAGTAGAATAAAAAATGTAGAGTAAAAAAAAGAAAAGAACAAGGTAAACAGACAAAAGATTGAAAAGTATCATAAGATTAATTTAAGGAAGTACAAATCGTGGAGTCCTTGGTGCTGTCTGAGCTTGGTTGTTTGCTTGCAGACGCTTCATTACCTGACTAGGTAACATCATCAGTGCTAATGAGTGTGGGGTTTGCTCCCTGTTTATATACAGTAGCTTGCCCTGCCGATGTTGGTGGGGGTGTCCCAAAGGACTTCATCTTTGTCTTATTGACAATTAAATCTTGCAGTCTGTATGTCTTAGTGTTTCTCCAGTAACCATCTTAATATCTTAAATGTTATCCTCAACCTTTTATCAAACCATATAGTTGTTTGTCTCTGTCAGTCATTTAACACCCTATCTTCAATTTTTATTGGAATTATTTGAAACAGAAAGTTAAGCCTTGGCAGAATATTCATGTTTACAGCACAATTCTTCCTAGCAGGACAATTTTAGCTTTTCTTCTTAGGGTATCTGCCATTATATTCTTCCAAAACAGTAATTATTTTTACATAGATCTCTGTTAGGTTTTGTTTAACCTTCTTAACAGTAATATTTAATCTCATTATTTATAGCTGATACTACTTTTCTTCAGATAGGTTCCATGCCAGCATTTAAGTCTTGTTCATGTTAATCCAATATCTGAATACTGAACTATACTACTGCATATGTTCCATTATGAACACATCTAAAAAGTCCTTTGGATGAATAACTACAAATATAATATTGTCAGCATATAATTTCAATTTATATTCCTGGTTTGCTAATTTAGTTCCTGAAATTTTGTTAGCTTGTTGTACCTTCTTTGCCAATGATTCTAATGTCAGTAAAAATAAAGGTAGTCCTCGATTTACCATTCATTCAGTGACTGTTCAAAGTTATAATAGCACTGAATGAATGGTGGTTACGACCAGTCCTCGGAGTTCCAGCTATCCCAACATCCCCATGGTCACATGATTGCAATCTGGTACTTGGTAACCCGTTCGCACTTATGACTGGTTGCCAAGTGCCCCACGATCACATGATTGCCATTTGCAACCTTCCATGCCGGCTTCTCCAGAAACTCAAAGGGGAAGCCGTCAGGGGAAATCACAAGTTGCTGTGATAAGTCTCCCTCACCCGTGCACCCTCCCCAGCCTCTCTGTACTTGCGCTGTGCTGGCCACTCATGCACCCCTGTGTGCCCTCCCTGACCCATGTAGTGCCTCTTGCACAACCTCGTGCACCCTCCCTGACCTACGTGGTGCCTCTCACACACTTTTGCAGACTCTCAACCATCCCCGGCCTGTGCAGTGCTTCTCACGCACCCTTGTGTACTCTCCCTGACCCTCATGATGTCCCTCACACCCTCATGCACCCTCCCTGATCCCTGTGGCACCTCTCATGCACCCTGGTGCACCCTCCCTGACCCATGTGATGCTTCTCACGCATCCTTCCCAACCCATGCCTTTTGCACCCCCCTGCACACCCTCCTTGACCCTCCCATGCCATGCCTCTTGCATACCCTCCTCAACCCTCTCTCTCCCCCCCCCCCTCTCTCGCTGCCTCCCCCACCCAGCAGCAGCCACTTACTTGCCTGTGGGTCTGAGGCATGCAACTGCCTGCCAGCTTCCCCACTGACTTTGGTTGTAGGAAACTGGCAGGAAGTTGCCTCAGCTGATGACCATGGGATTCAGTTAATGATGGCGACTGCAGGTATTACTATCACTAAGGAATGCAGTCGCACTTTACAACCATATCACTTAGGATGATGAGGTTGTAAGTTGAGGACTACCTGTAAAAAAGGAGAAAGGGAAAAGCCCTGTCTTGTTTTCTCCATTACAATATATTTTTATTATAAGAAACCGCTTTCCTATACTCTTTATACTCTTTCCATTTACTCTTATCTTGGCTTCTTGTTC